TCGCCCGCGCTCTGCGCGCGCGCGGCGGTTCTAAATACTATCATAGCGTCTTAGGATGATGATCTCTCTCGTCGTTCGTTCGTTCGTTCGCTTGTTCGTTCGTTCGTTCGAGCGAGCGAAGTCGCTCAACGCCCAGCCGCCCACTGGAAGAACCCGCAGTCCGCGTCTTTGTTCCCTCTCGCGCCCGCGGGTCGCGGGCAACAGAAGAACGTCCTCCCGAAGTTCGCGGACTCTTTCTTTTTGACCGAGCGGACTTTACACGTCTCGCCGTGCCCGCGACACTTCGGCGGCGCCATCCGGTCGTGGATACGCTTCCACGCGTTGACCGTATCGTCCGCCGCCGTCGGCGTCGCCGCCGGCGGAGGGCCCGGCGCGTCGACGCCGTGAACGACCGACGCCGCGCGCGCCGACGACGGCTCGTTCCGGTCGCGAGGAGGCGCCGGCGGTGGTTTCGGCTCGAAGAACGCGCGAATCGAATTCGAATCCGCGCCCGCAGCCGGCCGTTTCCTCTTCGCGCCGCCCTGCCCCGCGTTCGACAGCTGCGCGCCGCCGCCGCCCGCGGGCGTCGCCGTCGCCATCGCCGCGGGCATTCGCCCCCCAACGCCGCCGCCGCTGCTCGCGTCGATCGCCTTGAAACCGTCCTTCAGCGTCCGCTGCGTGCCGCCGTTCCGACGCAGCGCGACGCTGCTCGCGATCGCCGGCGGGCCGACGTCGCCGGCCGCGTCGATCGCCTTGAACAACTCGAAATCGCCGTCGCCGCCGCGGTCGAACGCGAGAAACACGGGCGCGTGGTCCGACCCCGGGTGCTCCCTCGCGATCCCAACGCGATGGACGCGCGCGTGCGTCGCCTCGTCGACGTAGAACGCGTCGATGCGCGCGCCGTAGTTTGTGAGTTGCGCGCCGCTCGCGACGTGCCAGCACGTGAACGCGTCCGACGTCTTCGGGTAACGCCGCCTGAGGGCAGGGTCGTTCCATACAAAAAATGTTCATCGGTCGTCAGTTGAAACGGGACGCGATCAAATGTTGAAACCGGCGGGCGATGGGTGAAAAACGTTTGATACTAGAACGCGCCTGAACGCGTCGATCAACCGGGGTCGTCTTCTTCCGCCGCCGTCCGCGTCGTCGTCGTCGCCGCCGCCGTCGTCGCGCTGGAGCTGCCGGTCCAGCCACGCGCGGTGCGGGCACGCGCGAACGAACTCGCGCTCGCGCGCCGCCGAGCTCGAACCGAGTTTCGAACCCGTCGTGCCCGTCGAAGTCCGCGCGGCGGCGGCGTCCATCGTTCCGCGCGCGACGTTCCAATCGCCGCACGCGACGACCCTCCGCCCCGCGTCCACGAGCGCGTCGACGCGCGTCTCCACCGCGAGGAGGAAGTCGCGCTTGAACGCGTCCCTGGCGATGTCAACGTCCTCGGACCCGGAGCCGCCGGTCGTCGCGGGGACGTAGACGTTGACGAGAACGAACCCGCCGAAGTCGACCAAAACGCATCGACCCTCCGCGTCGAGTTCAGCCGCGCGCGCCCTCGTGAACAGCTCGCGCATCGCGCCGTAGCACCCGACGCCGCCGCGTTCGCCGTCGGCGTTCACGCCGGTGACGCCCACCTCCGCGGCGACGACGGCCGTGTCCGCGCGTCGCCAGTACGTCGCCACGCCGGCGTACCCCGCGGCCTTCTTCGGATCGCGCGTCACCGCGTGCACGCTGTCCCACCCGTCCGGGCACGCGAGCCGCGCGTCGAGCGCCGCGCGCGGCTCGGACGCGCCGCCGCCGCCGAGCTTGGTCTCCTGCAGGCACACGACGCGGATGTTGTCCGCGCGCGATCCGAGCGACGCGAGGAGGTTCGCGGCGCTGCCGAACCCGAGCGGGCGCGACACGCCGTGCGCGTCGGGAGGCGCGGTCGCCGCGCCGCGGTTGGCGTCGCACAGCGGACGCAAGCCTCGGAGGCCGACGTTCCAGGAGACGACGACGTCGCCGAGGGACGGGTCGGGGGGGAGGGGGAACGTCGCGAAGGGGGGGGGGGGGCGACNGCGCGCCGCCCGCCGCGGGGGGCATCGCGGCGCCGCGCGAGATCCTCTGCCGTGATGCGTGATCGTGAGAGCGTTTGATCCAAGAGGTGCCTACTACAGGATATACCTCTACGCTACGTCGTCCCCCACCCCACCCACCCCGCGCCGCCGTTTCGAGCGGCGCGGCGGAGGCGGCGACGACGCGACGACGACCGCCTCCGCGCCGCGCTTAAACGTCACCTCGACGACGTCGCCGCGACACCGCGCGAGCGACGCCTGCAACCCGGGCGGCAGTTTTAACGCGTGCTGCCGAGCGTCCCCGAAGACGTGCGTCAGTCCGCCGCCTCCGCCGCCGCCGTCCGCGTCGCCCTTATTACTAATCCTCCCTCTCCCGCCGCTCGCGGTCTCAAACGCGCCGCCGAAATGCGCGTCGTCGCTCATCACGCGCTCGCGCTCTCTCGCGTGCGCGTCCTCCCCGAGCGCGGGCGCGGGTCTAAGGGCCGTTCCGTGCGAGCGAACGTCGGGGTGGAGTTGAAAGGCGTCAGAAGCGGAGTTGAAAGGCGTCGAGGTCGGGGATTGAAAGCGAGGGACCCTGGGCGAAGAGAAACGCCGGCAAAAGTCCTTAAGGATCGGCGTCCACATCGCCGACGCGGTCGTATGGGAACCAGTGTGAGATAGAACGCACGTCAGCGCGTCGAACGCTTCCTCCGGGAACGCGTCGATCCCGCGCGGCTTGTATCCGAGCCACACGTTCACGAGAAAGGTCACGCGCTCGTACCCTTCCTCGACGTCCGTCGGTCGCGCGAGCTCGCGCGACGCGCCGTGGAGAAAGCGCCCGTCGAAAGAGACGTGCTTCCCCGCGAGCGGGTACGACACGAAGCCGCCTGTTAAGGGTCGAGGGTCCGTACGAGCGAATGAACGTCGGGGCGGAGTTCAAAGGCGTCAGAAGCGGAGTCGAAAGGCGTCGAAGGCGGGGATCGAAACAACAGAGGGGTTGGCGGAGAGAAACACCGGGTGGAAAAGTCCTTAATAAACGGCGAGCACAACGCGAACGGGGTCGTATGGGGACCAGACAGTGTGAGATAGAACGCGCCTGCGATGGAACCGCGGAAGCCGTCCGTCTCCGCGTACGACGTCGGCGCGGTTTTTTCTGGAGGGACGAGACACGAAAACGGAGGGACGCGCGGCCAGGCGTCGTCGTGAGTGGACGGTTCGGACAGAAAGATTCGATGACGTGGCACATCGTGTGGTGGTGGTGGCTGGTTGTCCATCCACGTCGACAAAAGAAACCGTGACATCGAGACGACGGACGCGACCCGAGACGCACCCAACACGACCGTCGGCGCCCCCGACGACGTCAAGTACGTCACCGTGGAGATCAGCGGGTGCACGACGACGCCGAAATCGTCCACGAGGTCTTCGTCCTTGTCCCAGTGGAACGCCACCGCCTCGCGGCACTCGTCGTCGACGCGCCGCACCTGCGTCCACCACTCCGCGCCGCACCCGCCGCCGAATCGCCCGTCGCCGAATCGCGCTTCATCCGCGTTCGTCTGCTGGAACGCGCGGAGGACGTCCGCGGGGACGTGACGGTCGAACACCGCGCGCGCGAGCGACTCGAGCGCGCATCGCGGCGCGGCGTCCGCGGCGAGCCAGAACGACTCGCCGACGAACGCGCGCGTCGCGTCGCGGAGCAACGCCTTCGCTCGGAACCCGTCGCGGGGGTCGCCGGCGTCGTCGTCGTCGCGAAGGAGGAGGAAGCGCGGGAAGGATCGGAACGAAAAGTCGAGCGCGTCCGCGCCGGCGACGCGGCCGTTCGCGTCGATGGCCACGGACGCGGACGCGGACGCGCGGCGGCGCGCGGCGTCGTCGTCGTCGTCGTCGTCGTCGTCGTCGTCGTCGTCGTCGAGGTGCAGCACGAGCGCCACGGGCGTCGCGCGCGTCGCACGCATCGCGCGCGCGCGGACGATTGACGAGTGAATAACCCTTTGTTAACTCTCCGGCCCGTCTGCCGTTGGTCGTTCGCTTTCGACGCGTGCTGACTTTTTTTGACCGCGGGTTTTGACCGCGGGTCGACCGCGTTTGAAAGCCGATCCCCGAAAATCTCCTTTCGATCGCCGCGATGAAGAGCTGGGCACCCGCGCAATCTCGCAGCCAATCAGGCTTATCCGACGTGGCCGTCGTCCGCGACGAGGACGACGTCACCCATTCCGCACCCGCCGCGTCGACGCGGCGGTCACTGCCACGCGCGCGGCTCGCTCCGGAAGCATGCGCCGGCAGCAATCCATTCGCGCGCTCCTGCGCGCGGTCGCGCCCGCGCACCCCGCGCCGCGCGCGCCGCGGAACGCGCTCACGCGCGCGCACGCGGTCCCCGCGGCCGCGACCGTCGTGCCGTCGGCAATCAGCACCGACCACGGCGGCACGGTGTATCCGGTGCCGCCGTCGGGGGCGAAAGTCTACGCGAACGTGGACGGCCATCGCATCGACGACGGGCGGTACACGAACTTCAAGGGCGACCTCGCGGGGATCGTCCCCTCCGAGCGTATCTACACGGACCCGGTGCGCGTGTTCGCGTACGGCACGGACGCGTCGTTCTACCGGCTCCTCCCTCAGATGGTAGTCAAGATCCACGACGAGAAGGAGGTCACGCGGATCCTCCCAAAGGCGAAGAAGCACTCGACGCCGGTGACGTTCCGCGCCGCGGGGACGTCGCTCTCGGGGCAGGCGGTCACGGACTCGATCCTCCTGAAGCTGTCGCACACGGGAAAGAACTTCCGGAACTACGAGATCACGGTGCGCGGCGACGACGACCCGTCCCCCCCCCAGCGATCCGCGTCGACGATAACGAAAACACCTGAAAACCTGATGACCCAACGAATAAAATATTTTCCCCGCGCGGACGCGTTCTCGCCAAGTGGCACTCCGCGCCTCCGCGCCTCCCGACCGCGCGACTGACCCCAAAATCCCCCGCGTCATCATCACCATCGCGACCTCAGAACGACGGCAAGGAGATCACGCTCGAGCCCGGCCTGATCCTCGGCGAGGTGAACCGCCTTCTGGCCAAGTACAAGGAGACCAACGGGCTCCAGACGCAGGCGCGTTCTATCTCACACTGGTTCCCATACGACCCCGTTGGCGTGGTGAACGCCGTTCCTTAAGGACTTCTTCTCCCGGCGATTCTCTCCGCCCAGGGTCCCTCGCTCACAATCCCGACACACACGCCTCGACGCCTTTCAACTCCGCTTCTGACGCCTTTCAACTCCACCCCGATATCATCGCTCGTATGGACAATTACCCGCAGTACAAGATGGGTCCGGACCCGTCGTCCATCGACTCGTGCATGATCGGCGGCGTCGTCGCGAACAACTCCTCCGGGATGTGCTGCGGCGTGAAGCAGAACACGTACCACACGCTGAAGGACATGCGGATCGTGTTCGTGGACGGCACGGTGCTTGACACGGCGGATCAAAAGTCGCGCGACGCGTTTTTGTCGTCGCACGTCGACCTCGTCGCGGGCGTCGTCAACCTCGCCAAGAAGGTCCAGGCGGACGAGGACCTCGTCGCGCTCATCAAGAAGAAGCACGCGATCAAGTGCACGACGGGGTACTCCATGAACGCGCTCGTGGACTTCCCGCCGGAGGACCCGATCGAGATCATCAAGCGGCTCATGATCGGCAGCGAAGGCACGCTCGGGTTCGTGTCCAGGGCGACGTACAACACCGTGGTGGACCACCCGCACAAGGCGAGCGCGTTCATCGTGTTTAAGGATGTTCAGGAAGCGTGCCGCGCGGCGGCGGTGCTGCGGAGGGAGACGACCGTGGACGCGGTGGAGCTCTTCGACCGCGCGTCGCTGACGCAGTGCGAGGGACACGAGCAGATCATCGGGCTGGTGCCGACCATCGCGGACGCGCCGAAGCGCGGCGCCGCGTTGCTCATCGAGTGCCGCGGCGCGACGGACGAGGAGCTGGACGTCGCGATTAAGGAGGTGTCCACGTCCCTGGACGGCGCGAACTTGGCGTACCTCAACGATCGCGTGTCCACGTACCCGTTCATGAAGGACGAGGCGGTGTACAAGGTGTACTGGGACGTGAGGAAAGGGCTGATTCCCCTCGTCGGGTCTTCGCGCAGCGCGGGGACGTCGGTGCTCATCGAGGACGTCGCGTGCGAGGTGGACAAGCTCGGGGACATGACCCAGGACCTGATCGACATGTTCGAGCGGTTCGGATACGACGACGCGTCGTGCATGGGCCACGCGCTCGAGGGCAACTTGCACCTGGTGTTTTCGCAGGGCTTCCGGAACGACGAGGAAGTGAAGCGGTACGCCGCGATGATGGAGGAGATGTGCGAGATCGTCGCGACTAAATACAAGGGATCGCTCAAGGCGGAGCACGGCACGGGAAGGAACGTCGCGCCGTTCGTGGAGATGGAATGGGGGAACAAGGCGTACGAGCTCATGTGGGAGCTCAAAGAGCTGTTCGACCCCGAGTACGTGTTGAACCCCGGGGTGATTCTCTCCAGGGACAAGGACATGCACCAGAAGTTTTTGAAGCCCAAGCCCGTGGCGGACCCGATCGTGGACATGTGCATGGAGTGCGGTTTTTGCGAGAGCAACTGCCCCTCGCGCGATCTGAGCCTCACGCCGAGGCAGCGCATCACGGTGTACCGCGAAATCTCGCGCCTGCAGGACATGCCGACGCGTGACAACGCGCAGCAAGCGCGTCTGGACGAGTTTTTGGACAAGTTCACGTACGAGGGCGACGCGACGTGCGCCGCGGATGGCATGTGCCAGGTGAAGTGCCCCGTCGGCATCAACACCGGCGAGCTCGTCAAGTCGATCCGCGAGCGCGACCTGAAGAAGCAGTCCACGGCGACGTCGGGCGCCAACGCGCTCGCGAGGAACTTTGCCACGTTCCAGAGCGTCGTGCCCACGTTCCTGAACCTCGTGTCCGCCGCGCACGGCGTCCTCGGCGGCGGCGTGCTGAAGAGCGTCTCCGGCGCGTTGAACAAGGTTTCCGGGAACTTGATCCCGGTGTGGAACGAGCACATGCCCACGGGCGCGCCGTCGCTGCCGGCGCCGAACATGCCGTCGTCGAGCGCGACGCAGCGCGCGGGGGTCCCTCGCAAGGTTGTCTACCTCCCATCCTGCGTCACGAGGATGATGGGCCCGGCGAAGGGCGACTCTGCGTCCATCGGCGGCGTCCCGGACGCGATGATGAGCATCCTGAAAAAGGCGGATTACGAGGTTGTGTACCCGGAGTCGCTCTCGTCGCAGTGCTGCGGCATGCTCTTCAACTCCAGGGGGTTCAAAGCCACCGCCAGCGGCAAGGGCGATGACCTCGAGGCGGCGCTCATGAAAGCCTCCGAGGGCGGCAAGCTCCCGATTGTCGTCGACACGTCCCCGTGCCTCGCGCAGATCAAAGAGCAGCTGACGAACCCCGCGTTGCGGTTCGCGTTGTACGAGCCCGCGGAGTTCATCGCGAACCACCTCGTGGACAAGCTCGAGTGGAAGAAGGTGAAGGACCACGTCGCGATCCACGTCCCGTGCTCGTCCAAGAAGCTCGGCGTCGAGAACACGTTCAACAAGATCGCGAAGATGTGCGCGAAGGAGGTGACGCCGTCGGGGATCCCGTGTTGCGGCATGGCTGGGGACCGCGGGATGCGTTTTCCGGAGCTCACCGGTTCGTCGTTGTCGTACCTGGACCTTCCCGAGGGATGCAGCGACGGGTACAGCACGTCGAGGACGTGCGAGATGTCGCTCTCGAACCACAGCGACGTCGCGTTTAGGGGGTTGGTGTACTTGGTCGACGAGGCGACGAGCGCGAAGAAGTGAAGTGAAGCGAGGCGAAGCGGAGACTTCGAAGACTTGACTGATTTGATTTGATCGCGACGGCGTCTTTGTTTTCGCGCCGTCGGTCGCGGCGGCGCGCGGCGGCGGCGCGAGGGCGGACGCGCGGCGGGCGAGTCGCGACTTTCGCGGGCAGCATTCTTTTAATAACGATTACCATCAGTGAACGAGCGCGCGCCGAGTGCGTCCGTCCGTCCGCACACCCTCCGCGCGATGATACTTTCCTTCCTACGTTGCGACGCACAAGTCTGCTGCGAAAACTCATCGCAAGCTCAACTCGTCCCGCACTCTCAGGCAGCACGCTGGAAAGCCACCTTGGAAAGCCCCCAAAAGGGGCAATCGTTCGTTCGCTCACTGCACTCGCGACCGCGCGTCCGCGCCGACCGTCCGCGTCGTCCGTCTCGTTCGACGCGCCTCGCACGCTCGCGCGCGCGCGCGCCCTCCGCCGCCGCCGCGCGCGAAACCCGAGGGCGAGACCGCGCGCCGCCGCGCCGTCGGGTCGTCGTCGCGAACGTCAGTCTAATTTAGGCATTCGCTTTCGTCCTTTTCCGCCCGCGAAAGCAGGCGTCCTACGCGGAGGGCGACGTCTCGCGCCGGTCGCCTAACGACCGACCAACCATGGGGAAGATGGAGGGCGGGATGTTCCACCACGTCAACAACTGCGCGCAGAACCAGAACCACGCGACGCGCGTCTACGACGGCCAGGCCCTGCGAGAGCGCCATCCCGATCGCAGCGACCCCTTCCCTCCGGGCGTCGTCGAGGATGAGATCTCGATCGCGTTCGGCCGACGGCACGTCGCGAAGCTCGTGGACGTGGTGTCTTTGCCGGGGTCCAAACTGAACGGCAAGGAGCGCGCGAAGGCGCTGCGGTACCTCCTCGGGTGCCTGTCGAACCAAGAGAGCAACGCGGAGGCGGTCGTGCTGAACGTCGCCGCGCCCGCGACCGCGCTGCTCGGCGACGGCAATCCAGAGGTGCGACGGCTCGCGTGCGACGTCCTGAGGTGCGTCCCATACACTGGTTCCCATACGACCGCGTCGGCGTGGTGAACGCCGATCCTTAAGGACTTTTCCCGGCGTGTCTCTCCGCCCATCCCTTGCGGTCAATCCCCGCCCGCGTTGCCTTTCAACTCCCACTGACTCCTTTCAACTCCACCCCGACGTTCGCTCGTATGGAACGACCCTGAGCGCGACGGCGACGACCCGCAGCGGGTGCGACGCGTTGCTTCGCTCCGGCGCGATCGAGACGATCGTCGCGTCGAGCCTGAAGGACGCCGACGCGGCCGCGCGCGACGCCGCCGCGGGGGTGATCGCGTCCGCGACGAGGACGCGGCCGGGGGCGGAGGCGGCGCTGAACGCGGCGGACGGCGCCGTCGTGCCGGCGCTGCGAGACATGATCCTCGGCGCCGACTCGGGCGCGTTCTCCTTACACTGGTCCCCATACGACCCCGTCCGCGTGGTGAACGCCGTTTCTTAAGGACTTTCTCTCCCGGCGTATGTTTCTCTCCGCCCAGGGTCCCTCGCTTTCAATCCCGACACATCTCGACGCCTTTCAACTCCGCTTCTGACGCCTTTCAACTCCACCCCGACGTCGCTTTGAATGATGGAACGACCCTCAGGCGCGTCGGCGGCGGCGAAAACGCACGCGCTGCAGTCGTTAGGCGACCTCGCGCTCTTCGACGCGGGCGTCGAGGCGTGCCTCGTCGCGAAGGTGGCGCTGACAGTGCTGGACGCGCTGGAGGCGCCGTCCGGGGACGCGCGGACGTGCCCCGAGCTCCGCGTCGCCGCGGCGCGAATGCTCAAACATCTCGCGCAGGACCCGCGCGGCAAGTTCATCGTCTTTCGCCGAGACGGCGCGTTGCAAATTCTCGCGGGGTTGCTGCGGTCGCGGACGACGGACTTGAGGGCGCACGCGGCGGGGGCGTTCATGGGGATCGCGATCGAGGTGCAGGCGAAGCTGCCGGTGTGGGAAGCCGCGGGGGCGGACCTGGTGATGCTGCTGCGGGACCCGTCGCCGCTCGTCGCGGAGAACGCGATGTACGCGATTCAAAACGCGTGCGAGCACCCCGTCGCGAAGCGGGCGGCGGTGCAGATCATGAGCGAGAAGGACAGGGCGCTCGTGTTTAACATGCAGGTCATGGTGAATAACCATTAACCTTAATTAGCAGAGAGAGAAGGAAGCAGAGGTCGAGGTCGAGGTCGAGTGTGTTGTATGATACTGTATCTCGAGAAGAAATAATTTAATTTTCCTTCTTTTCGTCGCCGTCGCCCTCCTTCGCCTCCGCCGCTTTCAACGCCGCCGCCGCCTCCTTCGCCCTCTTCATCTCCTCGCGCTTCTTCGCGAGCTTCCTCCGGTCCGGGATCTTCATCGTGTGGTACGCGGCGTACACGTACGCCAGCATGTACGGGCTCGGCGTGCACCGCGACGACGACGTCAGCATCGGCAGCGCGAGCGTCACGACGGAGAAGAGCCCCAGCGTCCCCGCGTGGCCTCGCACGAGACTCAAGAACGCGGCGACGACGGCGAAGAAGCTCCCCGCGACGATCTGCCCTTTCCCGCCGTGAAACGCCCGCGTCAGACCTTTGTCCATGATGTGCAGGTCGCGCACGCGCGCGTATCGCCCCGTCGAAAAGTCCGGGAACCATCGCGCGTCGTCGCCGTCCGCGTCGCATCCGTGCGACGACGTTCGGCACTTCCACGCGCGCCAACTCTGCTCGAGACACGCGCCGGGGTAGAGCATCGCGCGGACGGTGTCGCCCGCGTCGCCCGGGGAGTCCGGGGTGTCGTGGATCGGAAGCACGAGCTGCGCGGCGACGACCTTGAGGGGAGAGAGGTGGATGACCCCGGGGCCTCGCGTCGTCGCGAGCGGCATCCTGATGCGACGATCGATGATGATGTTGATGAGATTCGGGGTGGTTGGAATGATGATGTATGGTGATCGCGCGACGACGACGACGACGACGAGCGCGCGCGAAGACGGCGGCGGTCGAGGAGGACGCGAGGACGGAGAGAGAGGCGACGCACTGCAGGACGATCATCGCCGCGAAGACGACGCCGACGAGACGCTTTTGAAGATCCATCGCGTTCGCGCGCTCGAGAGTGCGAGCTCGTCCCAGCTGATGAGTCACCACCGCCACCGCACGCCACGACTACGACTGCGAATGCCACTCGACGAAACCTAGCTCGCGCGACGCGACGCGAAGGACGCGGCGTCGCGCCGCGCACTCGCGCCCGCGCCGTCGCACTCGACTCGGACGATTCGATGGACGGCGCTTCCATCGCCGCGGCGCACCGCGCGCCGACCGGCGTCGGCGCGTCGCGACCGCGCGGCCGCGGCGTCCCGTCGACGCGATCCGCGCGTCGTCATCATCGTCCGAGCCGAGGCGGCGTCGCCGCGCGCGCGCGCGCGTCGGGCGGCGACGGCGGCGGCGGCGGCGGCGACGGCGGCGACGGCGCGTCCGTCCCCCGCGGCGGCGCGAACGACGGCCCCGTCGACGTCGCGCGCGCGATCGCGCGCGCGCAGCTCATCGCGCGCGCGCAGCAGCTCGCGTCGCTCAAGTCCGCCGCGGGCGGCGTCGTCGTCGCCGCCGCGTGCGCGACGTGCCTCCTCCTCGCGCCCGCGTCGCCGGGCGAGGGCGCGCGATCGTCGTCGTCCTCCTCCATCTCATCCCTCGTCCCCGCCGCGTTCGCGGACACGGAGGAGGACGCGTCGACGTCGACGCCGTCGACAGCCTCCACCTCCGCGGGCGTGTCGCAAATCTTCGAGAAGATCGCGGCGTCCGAAGCCAACGCGAAGAACGGCTACACCGCGACCGAGCTCGCGAACGCGTCGCTCGTGAACGAGGTGTGGACGACCGTGGACGAGAACTTCCTCCCGGCGAGGAACGCGAACGGGTTCGACCGCGACGCGTGGGCGGCGCTCAAGGAGCGATCCGACGCGAGCCCGCCGAAGACGAAGGGCGAGGCGTACGATCGGATCCGAACGCTGCTGAGGCGCGTTCTATCTCACACTGGTCCCCACACGACCGCGTCCGCGTGGTGAACGCCGTTTCTTAAGGACTTTTGCCGGCGTGTCTCTCCGCCTACACCTCGCTTTCAATACCCGACCTCGACGCCTTTCAACTCCGAGGTCTGACGCCTTTCGACTCCACCCCGACGTCGCTTTGAATGATGGAACGACCCTCATCAGCGCGCTCGACGATCCGTACTCGCGGTTCGTCGACCCGACGGACTTCGCGCCGCTTCTGAAGTACGACATCAGCGGCGTCGGCGTGAACGTCGCGGAGGACGCGGAGGACCCGACGAAGATCCGCGTCCTCGGCCTCGTGCTCGACTCGAGCGCGGCGCGCGCGGGGATCGAACGCGGCGACGAGATCGTCGCCGTCGACGGCGAGAGCGTCCGCGGCAAGAGCGCGTTTCAGGCGCGTCACACTGGTCCCCATACGACCGCGTTCGCGTTGTGAACGCCGATCCTTAAGGACTTTTTTCTCTCCCGGCGGGCGTCTCTCTCCGCCCGCGCCGCGGTTTCGATGATCCCGACGCGTCTCGACGCCCGCCTTTCGACTCTGACGTCTGTCTGACGCCTTTCGACTCCGCCCCGACGTTCGTCGCTCCCCTCGACCCTCCTCAACAGGCGGTGTCCATGATACAGGCGTCGTCGTCCAACGACGTCAAGGTGGTCGTCAAGTCCAACGGCGGCGAGGACGGGCAGAGCGGCGCGTTTCCCGAGGGAGAGGAGCGCGAGGTGACGCTCCGTCGCGCGAGCTCGGCGACGAACCCGGTGACGGCGCGCATGGAGAGCGGCGACGTCGGGTACATCAGGTGCGTTCAATACAAACGTTTGTTTTTCACCCATCGCCCGGTTTCAAAATTTGATCGCGTGGGTCCCTATCAAATGACCGATGAACACACTTTTTTTGTACCGAACGACCCCACGCATCAGACTGAAGGAGTTCAACGCGCTCGCCGAGCCGAAAGTCGCGGAGGCGGTGAACGAGCTCAGAGGGAAGGGCGCGACGTCGTTCGTGCTGGATCTGCGGGATAACCCCGGAGGGTTGGTGCAAGCTGGCGTGGAGATCGCGCGACTGTTTTTGCCCCCGGACGTTAACGTCGCGTACACGGAAGGGAGGGTCGTCGCCGGCGGCGTCAAGGGCGACACCGACGTCGACGCGACGGCGACGGCGGCGGCGCGCGCGAAAGCGCGGGCTCAGGCTCGGGGGGGGAGCGGCGGAACGACGAAAGAGACCCGGGTCGGGCTGTTCGCGAGCGTGGACGGATCCGCCGCGAAAAAGGGGGGTGTCAACGCCACGACGAATGCGACGACGAATGCAGTCACGCCGGAGACGAAGCTGAAGAGCATCCCCGCGTCGACGTCGCCCGGGTCGGGGGGAGCCGCGATCGTCTCAGGCGCGTTCTGTCGTACGCTGGTTCCCGTACGACCGCGTCGGCGTGGTGAACACCGATCCTTGAGGACTTTCTCTCCCGGCGTATGTTTCTCTCCGCCCAGGGTCCCTCGCTCACAATCCCGACGCACACACCTCGGCGCCTTTCAACTCCGCTTCTGACGCCAATGAACTCCACCCCGACGTTCGTTCGCTCGTATGGACAATTACCCTCAGAGCCGCTGGCCGTCCTCGTCAACGGGCGAAGTGCGTCCGCGTCGGAGATTCTCACGGGCGCGCTGAAAGATAACTGCAGGGCGACGGTCGCGGGGAGCCGGACGTACGGCAAGGGGCTGATACAGTCCGTGTACGAGCTCAGCGACGGCAGCGGGTTGGTGCTCACCGTGGGGAAGTACGTCACGCCGTCGCTGGAGGATTTGGACAGGGTGGGCATCGCGCCGAACTTCGGGATGTTCCCGGGGTTCGCCAAGGCGAACGAGACGCTGTCGCACTGCGAGGTCCCGACGCGGCGGTGAGTGAGTGAACACTTTGGTTTATCATTATTATTAGGAAGGCACTCGTCGAGAACGATCGTAGGCTATCATATCGGGTAAAAATGCGACGTGGTGATCGATGGAACCGAATCGTTCTCATCACTACGCGGTTTTCGCGCCGGATTTGTTCTTCAACCCCGCGGTGAACCACCGCTTGACCGCGTCCACGACTCCCTTCACCGGCCCCAACCGATCGACGATCGGCCCCGCGCCCTCGCCGATCTTCTTCCAAAACTCTCTGTGGTAGAACCCCGAGTTCATGTACGTGTACTTGATCCTGAACACGGTGTCGTCGTCGCACGCGTATCGCATTCGGAGATAATTCGCGTAGGCGACGAACCGCGCGACGGACCGCGCCGGCGTGAACAGCTCCATGACGAGCACCATCGCCATGGATATCTCCATCGTCGCGCACGTCATCATCGCCTGCATCATCCCCTCCTGCGCTCGCGCGTGCAGCGCGGCGAGCTTCAACGTTCCGTAGAAGCGCGTATGTGCGAAGTGTTTGTGCGCGATCGTGATCCACTGCAATCCCGCGCACAGCGCGAGCGGCGCCAGGACCGTCGGCACCGGGCGCGGCGCCATCCAGAAGCACGCGATGTAGAGCAGGTAGTGGAACCCGTTCGTGGACGTCTGCGTCGCGACGAGCTTCCGCGCCGACGCGAAGTCTCTCTTCTCGAGCTTCGAGGAGTAGAGGAGGCGGTACGCGAACGCGATGCCGGCGGACGCGAGCGACGCGCGGTACGCCGGGCTCGTGACGCGCCTGAGGCCGGGGATGCCGAACGAGCCGACGAAGCACGCGAACGCGCTCGCGATGCACGAGGTGGTCAGGAGGAAGAACACGGCCGTGCGGAAGTCCATCCTCGGCGGCGCCATCGTGCCGGGCGCGGCGTACGTAGATCTGACGGCGCGCGTCGTCGCGTCGGGCGGAAACCAAACGTCGTTCAATATTCTCTCAGCTCGAAGTTGTTCGGTTTTCAAAAATTAGTCTACGTATGTTTAGCGGCGCTCCGTCGCCGCTCGCGAGCTCGCGCGTCACAACCCGAGGTGCTTCATCCAGGGAATGTCCCCGTGGTCCAGCCCGCGCTCCCCCTCCGCGCTCGCCGCGTCGCCCGCGCCGTTCTCGCCGCCTATCCCGCCTACCCCGCCGCCCGTCCGTTCCCGCCGCGCCGCCGCCGCCGCCGCCGCCGCGATCGCCTTCTCCACCCTCGTCTCTTTCAGCGCGTACACGAGGTCGTCGCGTCCCATATTCAGCGACACGCGCTGCGCGCTGCGCTTCCGCCCCGGGTCGCACAGCAGCAGTCGCTGCGACGCGAGCCGGCACACGACGCCCGCCGCGCATCCCGCGGGCGGCAACGGCTCGCCGTACGTCCGACATAAATTTTCGTGCGTCCGCATCACCCCCGCGACGGGGACCTCGCTCAACCCGCTCCGTCGGAGCTCCATGACGAGCGCGGCGAGGAAGATTCGCTCGTGCCGCGACGCCGCGGCGACGTACGTCGTGTCCGGGGAGTCGAACATCTCGCCCTGCGCGGCGTGGATATCGTGCATGTCCACCTTATCCGGCCGCCGACGACCGCCCGGGACGACAGCCGCCGCGTGAGCCGCCGCCGCCGCGTCCGCGGGAGTAATAAGACTCGCGTCGCCCGCCTCCAGTCTTCGGCGCGCCTCGACGCGCGCCTCCGCAAGCTCCGCGGCTCTGCGGCACATCTCCAGGACGCGTCTCGCGCACCCGTTGAACCCGGCGACTTTCCTCGACGCGAGCTCGATCGCGGTGGACTCGAACGCGTCGAGCAGCGACCCGCCGGTCGCGCCGCCGCCGCCGCCCGCCTCCTCGAGCCGCGCGGCGACGATCTTCTTCAACTCCGCCTGCTTGTACGGCGCGAACGCGACGCGGTTGGACCCCAACCGACTGATGATCTTCGGCAGCAGCCGCTCCGGCAGATCCAACGTGTTCGCGATGCCCAAGATGACCAACCGCGCGCGTCGATGCGTCGGCCAATCGAACAAGTTATACAGCAGCTGTTGCGTCCGCGTCACGAGCAGATCGACCTCGTCCACGACGAGCACGGTGACGCGCCCGTCGCTGCCTTTGCCGTCGCGGAATCGCTCGGTGAGGACGTCGCACGCGCGGTTCGGCGCGAGCCGCTCGCCGACGAGCTCCTCGGCGATGGCGCTGTACGCGTGCGCGGGCGTCTGAGGGCCATTCCATACAAAAACAGTTCACCGGTCAGTTGAAAGGGGACGCGATCAAATGTTGAAACCGAGCGATGGGTGAAAAACTTTTGTACAGAACGCACCTGAAGCCGCAAGCCGTTGAGTTCGACGTGGTTGAACCGCGGAAGGCCGCCGTCGCGCGACTTGCGCTTCAACGCGCGGATCACCTCGCGGACCGTCGCGGTCTTTCCCGTGCCCGGGACGCCGGAGATGTAGAGACAGCGGCCTTTGCAGTCCGCGCCGGCGCTGATGGACTGCTGCACGAACTGGAAGATTTGCTCGCGTTCGCGTTCGCGGCACGGCAAGACGCCCGGGGTTTTCGAGAGCGACAACGCGACGCGCGCGCGCCCGAGCGCGGTCGCGGGCGCGGCGCGGTCCACTTTCGTCGCCGCGAGCGCGCCCAGACCCATGACGCCGCCGTCGCCGGACGCTTTCGCGGCCGCGCGTCGCGACGCGGTGAGGTGCCGGGATAAGAACGAGCTCTTCTTCCCGCCGCCGCGTCGCGCGTCGCTCGAGGTCTTCCGCCCGTTCCCCCCGTTCCGTCGCGCGCTCGCGCGTCGTCCGTCGCCTCGTTCGCCCTCCCACTCCCCGCCGTCGTCCTCTTCCACGTCGTCGTCGTCGTCGCTGCCGTCGTAGTCGTCGTCGTCGTCCTTAAACCCGCCAACGCCGCCGCCGCCGCCGGGGACGTGGTTCGTCAGCCACCGCCGCCCGCCGTCGTGGTCGTCGCTGTCGTCGTCGTCCCAATCCGCGCGTCGTCGGAACCGCCGGAAGTGGCTATCGTACGAGTACTCGCACAAGAAGACGTCGTCGCCGCCCTCGTCGACGTCGTCGTCGTCGTCGTCGTCCGCGGCGGCGGCGGCGGCGGCGGTCGCGTCCTCGTCTTTTCGCCGCGCCGCCCTCGCCGCCGATAATCGCTTCGCTGCAATCGCCGCGCGCCTCGCCGCGTCCTCTCTAAACTCCGCGGGCGACAACACCTTCGCGGGACGCAAGAGGCAGTCCACGCCGTTCTCGTCCGTGTTGTTCGTGAGAAACACCTCCCGCCGCGCGTGGTCCGCGCGTCGCCCCGCGTGCGTCTCCTCGGGCAACGCGAACCACCTGCCGACGAAGTAAAACCGACCGCGTTCGCTCCATATGCACTCGACGCGGCACAAGTGCAGGTTCCCGGAGAGAAACTCGCCGACCGCGGTGCGCTTCCCCGCGGCGCTCGGCGGCGCGACGCCGTCCCGCGACGCGAGGCACATCGGGCAGTGCCACTCGCCCTCCGGGACGGCGGTCAGCGCCGGATTCAGGCACCCCCCGTGCCATCCTCGCAGACACCCGTCGCACTCGAGCATGAAGTCGTCGCCGCGCGTCGCTTCGCCGCACGCCGTGCACGGCTCGTCCGTCGTCTCGTCGTCCAAGTCCACGGTCTTGTCGCTGATGACGTACGCGCAGTCGCCGCGCTTGAAGACCTCGCCGTCGACTTTGACTTGCTCCCAGTACCGACGCTCCGCGGGCTCGGCGGAGGCTTTAGATTTCTTCTTCTTCTTCTTCTTCGCGCCAGGATCCTTCTCTCTCTTCGACGCCGCGTCCTTCTTGTCCTTCTGAATCAGATGGTCTTTTTCTCTCTTCTTCTTCTCTCTCTCTTTCTCCGTCGAAGTCGAAGTCGAAGTCTTCGCGGCGGCGTCCTTGGCGGCCTTCTTCTCCGGGACGAGCGCGACCGCGAGGGGGTTCGCGTCGCTTTCCATCAGGCCGAGACGCCGCGCCACCGCCGTCCTCGACTCGAACCTCTCCCCGGCGGGCGAGAAGTACACCTTGTACGCGCCGCCGGTCGTGCCCCCCTCCGCGCCCCGCTGCACGATCTTCACCGTCCACTTCTTCTTGGGATCCATCGCGGGGAGGATCTTCCCTTTCCCGCCCAGACTCGTGATGAACTCGTCGAGAAGGACGACGTCGGGATCCTCGCCCACGCCGCCGTCGGATACCCATTTCGACACCTCGGATCTGGACCTGAACCGCTCGCCCGACGGCGCGAGGTATCGGAAGTACACCGCGCCTTGTTTACTCCCGGTCTCGCGGAGCGCCGCGACGACTTTCCATCCCGCGTCGAGGGGTTTCCCCGCGTTCTCGCGGACGTGCTCTTTGAGCGACGTCAGCTCGCGCGCTTCTTTCGCGCGCAGGTTGCCGCCACCGCCCGCCCCGGTCGACGCCCCCGCGACGATCTTCGCGTTCGACGCGGGCGCGTCGGCGGTGCCGCCCTTCCCTCCTCTCGCGCCCTTGACGAGCGCCGCGAGCTCGCTCATCTTCGACTTCTTCGACGTCGGCGCGGCCGCGGCGGACGTGGACGTCGTCCCGGCCCCTCGTGTTGGCGCGTCCTTGCGCTTTCGAGACCCGCCGTCCGCGTCTACCCGCGCGAAGAGCTTCGGAGGCGCGCCGGGCGCTTTCTCCGCGTTCCTTCGCGTGCTCCGCCGCGGCGGCTCGCTCGGGTTGGACGACATCGCGCGCGAGGAGACGTTCCAGACGCGTATCGAAGTCTCCGCGTCGCCTCGCCCCGTCGCCGTCGCCGCGCGTCGCCGTCTGATCTCTCGCCGCGTTCAAAATCGATGCATCTTTTCTGTCGTCGGGTTGCCAGGTTCGTTGCTTGCGTGCGGCCGACCGCGCCGCGTGACGACGACGCCCCGACGCCGGACGGCCGTCGTCGAGGCACACCGAGACGCGCCGCGACGTCCCCGCGATGGCGCGCGTCGCGTCCGCGATCGCGCCGCCGCCGCGATGCGATCGCCGTCCTCGCGGTGCCGGCGTCGGCCGCGCCTCGGTCGCACCGGGGGGGGGCACGGCGTCGGCATCTCGCCATCGCGCTTCATCGTCTCGACGACGTCGTCGCGACGTGATGATTCTTCGCGCGGCGGCCGCGAACGATGGCGCGCGCGCCGCCAAGGAGGTGTGGATAGAGACGCGCGACGCGCAGACCCTGCTCGCCGCGCTCGAGTCCGGGCTCGTCACCACCGCGCTGTTCCGCGACGCGGAGACGGCGCAATCGCGCGCCAAGCTGGGGCGGTTCCGCGCGCTCGTCGCGGATCCGTCGACGCGCGGCGTCGTCGTCGTGACGGACGCCGCCTCCGACGACGCCGTGGCGATCATCTGCCCGACGCGAGACGCGGACGAGTGCGCGGCCGTCGCGCGCCTGTCCGGCGTCGAGCCGCTCGTGATCGCGGACCCGTACAGCGGCGGCGACGACGACGAGGAAGAGATGGGCGACGGCTGGAAGGTCATCCCGTGGGAGAATCTCGTCGCCGCGTACGGCGCGACGCCGCACTCGCGGGTGTTCGCCGTCGCGCGAACCGCCGCCGACGCGGTGGCCGCGTTCGAGGCGCTCGAGGTGGGCGTCGACGGCGTGGTGTTGAGAACCGACGACGTTGGGGAGGTGCGCGAGTTGAGCGCGCACGTGGGAGGAGGAGACGCACAGCCGTCGTCGGCGTCGGCGTCGGCAAATTCCGCACAGCTGTCGTTGACGCGCGCCGTCGTGACGAAGGTCGCCGTCGTCGGCTCCGGCGATCGCGTCTGCGTCGACTGCGTGGCCGCGTTCGCGCCGGGGGAAGGCCTCCTCGTCGGGTCGTTCGCGCGCGGGCTCTTCCTCGTTCACAGCGAGTGCCTCGACGCGGAAGGGTACGTCAACGCGCGTCCGTTTCGAGTCAACGCCGGGCCGTTGTGTTCGTACGTCGCGACGCCGGGCGGGAAGACGGCGTATCTCAGGCGCGTTATACTGTAGTATCACACTGGTCCCCATACGACCGCGTTGGCGTGGTGAACGCCGTTTCTTAAGGACTTTCTCTCCCGGCGTTTGTCACTCTCCGCCCATTACCCCTCGCTGGTTTCAATCCCGACACACCTCTGGCGACGCCTTTCAACTCCGAGGTCTGACGCCTTTCGACTCCCCCTCGACATTCATTCGTCGCTTCGAATGGGAAAATACCCTCATCCATCATCAGCGAGCTCGCCGCCGGGGACGAGGTGCTGTGCGTGGACGGCGCGAGCGGCGCGACGAGGGTCGTCACCGTGGGCAGGGTCAAGGTGGAGCGGAGGCAGTTGGTGATGGTGGAGGCGGAGGCGGTCGTCGCGGAGAAGAAGAAGGGCGACGACGACGACGGGGGCGTCGTCGGGACGTCGGAAAAAGTCGTCTCGCTCGCGTGCATGGCGCAAAACGCGGAGACGGTGCGATTCGTCGGAGATCGCGCGAGCGGCGACGACGAGGACGACGGCGTCGTCTCCGTCTCCGTGATCGAGCCCGGGGACGAGGTCGTCGTGTGTTTATTAGAAGGCGCGAGGCACACGGGGATCAAGATAGAAGAACAGGCGTGGCACGAGAGGTAGGTACGTGTGATGAGATTGCGCTGCGCGTCGACGCGCGGTCGCGAAAACGTTTACTACGTTATTTCGCGCGTCTCTTCTTCTATATATCGTAAGGCTATCGTCGTCGTCGTACACACGTCGTCGTACACACGTCGTCGTCGTCGTCAATACCCAGGCCTCGCCGGGTAGATCATGCTCCCCTCGAACGCTCTCAGCGTGATGCACTCGATCTCGCTGAAGTGCTTGATCAACTTGTAAAACTGCCAGCACAGCCGCGCGATGTAAATCTGCACGCACACCAGCAGCGCGGTGAGCACGCGCGTGAAGAGATCCGTGTTGATGATAAAGATGGCCACCTTCCACACGAGGTTTAGAAGCGTGAACACGAAGTATACGATGGTGTACCCCGGGGAGTAGTTCTTCGCGCCGACGTATCCCATGATCGGGCCCAGTATCGCGAGCATCGCCCAGTACAGCCCGGTGATGATGTACAGCACGCAGAGGACGACGTCGATGATGCTGAGGGTCGCCGTTCCATACGAGCGAACGTCGGGGTGGAGTTGAAAGGCGTCAGTTGGAGTTGAAAGGCGTCGAGGTGTGTCGGGATTGAAAGCGAGGGACCCTGGGCGGAGAGATGCGCCAGGAAATGTCCTTAAGGATCGGCGTTCACCGCGCCGACGCGGTCGCATGGGGACCGGTGTGAGATAGAACGCGCCTGAAGATGCGAAGCGATTTGGACAGGACGACCGCCTCCTCGTGCTCCACCGGGAGCGTCTCCTCGGAGATGCGCACGGTCGTGCCGTCCGCGAGCGTGTGGTAGTAGTTCCCCGGGTGCACCTCCACGGTCTGTAAGTACGCCACGCCGCCGTGCGGGTGGGCGTTGTAGTGCGGATTTATCGGCGCGGGCGCGCCGTGGTAGTACTGAGGGCCATTCCATACGAGCGAACGTCGGGGTGGAGTTGAAAGGCGTCAGGTGGAGTTGAAAGGCGTCGAAGGCGGGGATTGAAAGCGAGGGGTGGGCGTAGAGATGCGCCGGGCAAAGTCCTTAAGAAACGGCGTCCACAACGCGAACGCGGTCGTATGGGAACCAGTGTATGGAACGCGCCTGATGCGGGCCGGGCTGCTGATGATGCGCCGCGCCCGGCTGCGTCGAATGCGCGCCGTACGGCTGCTGCCCCGCGTAGTACGCCCCGGGTCCCGGGTGCTGCGGCCCGCCGATCGGGACGCCGATCGCGGGCTCGCTGTACGACGTGTGCGTGCCCTGGACGTTCGACGGCGGGACGTTGACCGCGCCCGGCGGGTTCGTCGGGGGCCCCGGAGGAGGAGGGCCCGGGTCGCTCATCGGTCGCGACTGCGGCGTGCCCTGCCGCGCGCCGTGTATCGGCGGGAGCGCGCCGCCGCCGCCGCCCTGCGGCGGCGGCGCGTTCGGGTCGGGACCGTTGCCCATGCGCGCGCGGTGCGTGCGCTCGGCGCGCGGCGGACGGACTGACGCGCGCGCGCGTCGAAGCGCGGAGAAGAAAACAAAGCGACACGTGGCTGCGCGCGCAGCGTGGTCGAACGAAAAATTCTTCGTTCAAAAAAATGAAATGCGCGTCCGCGTCCGTCCGTGGAGAGAGAGAGAGAGAGAGAGAGAGAGACGTCTCGCCGCTTTAACGCGCCGGCTGCTATCTATCGCGCGCGTCGCGCCACGCCGTCGCCGCCTCACCCGAGCTTCATCGCGTTCCTGACCGCGGAGAGCTCCCCTTGCAACCGCGCCACCTCCTTCTGCTCGTCCCGCAACGCGAGCTTCGCGTCCGCCAGCCTCGTCGTCAACGCGCGCTCTCGCTCCGCCGACGCCGCGAGTTCGGTCTCGAGCGCGGCGACCCGAGACGCGAGTCCAGTTGCCACGTCAGTTGCCACGTCAGCAGCAACCGCGACGTGCGGCGCCGGCGCCGGCGGGGGGATGCGGACGGGCGGCGGCGTGATCGACGGCGACGGCGGCGCGGGAGGCGCCGCGAACGCGTCGAACGTCGCCCACGTCGACGCGTCGCCGAACCCGAATCCGGCGGCGGCGCCGCCGCCGTCGCTTCCTCCGCGACGGCTCGTCGTCGTCGTCGCGCTCGACGCCGCCACGTCGTCGAACGCAGCCCACGTCGCGTCGTTGTCGCCCCCGCCGCTGCCGCTCCCGCCGCGCGAGGGCGCCGCCGCGACCGGCGGCGGCGCGGCGCCGAAATCAGCCCACCCGCCGTCGGTCGCCGGCACCGTCGTCGTCGTCGCCGCCGTCGCCCCGCCGCCGCTCCCCGCGCGCGTCATCGGCGGCGGCGGCGGCGCGCTCGGATCCCCCCCCCCACCTCCTCCGCCGCCGCCCAAAGCCTTCGCCACCATCCGTCTCCACGCGTCGTCGTCCACGCCTTCGCCGGTGATGAGCGCCCTCGCGCGATTCGCCGCCGCCGCCGCGGTGACGCGGCGCATCGGATCCACGACGAGCGTCGCTCGCGTCAACTCCACGGCCGCGTCGCTCCGTCCGTTCCCACCGCCCGCCGCGCCGCCCGCGCCAGATGATCGATGCTTCGGGATCGTGAACGTGCCGTTCAGAGCCGCCATCCTGGACTCCGCCCCGAACGGCAGCGCGTTGAACAGCGCCTGAGGGTAATTGTCCGTACGAAGCGACGAACGTCGGGGTGGAGTTGAAAGGCGTCAGAAGTTGAAAGGCGTCGCGGGCGGGGATTGTGAGCGAGGGACCCTGGGCGGAGAGAGACGAACGCCGGGAGAGAAAGTCCTTAAGGAACGGCGTTCACCACGCCGACGGGGTCGTATTGGGACCAGTGTAACCAGAACGCACCTGATACAGCACGCACCCGAGCGCCCACACGTCGGACGGCGGCCCGATCTCCGCGAATCGAAACGCGTCCCACAGCTCCGGCGATCGGTACGGCGGCGTCGTGACTCGCACCATCTCCGCCTCCGCGCGCGCGCGGTCGTTCGCGGTCGCGAGCGGCACGCACCCGACGCGCGCGCTGCCGAAGTCGCACAGTTTCCAACCGCCGCCGTCGCCGTCGCGCGCGCGGAGGACGTTCTCGGGCTTGACGTCACGATGGAGCAACGGCGACGGCGTCTCCGCGTGCATGCGCGCGATCGCCGACGCGGCGGCGTGAAACGCTCGCAGCGCTTCCGTTTCTTCCATGTATTCTCCGCGCGACGCCGCGGTCGCGAGCGCGTCCGCGAGGCTCTCGGAGCACAGCTCGAGCACGGCGAGGACGCGGTAGCAGTCGCCGTCGCCGCCCGGGAGCGGGACGAGGCGGACGTCGTGCGCGAGCTGCGCGACGACGCACTCGTGATGGCTCAGCCGCGCGTGGAGCTCCACCTCGCGTCGCGCGTCGAGCTCGCTGACGCTCGAGTCGTGCGGCAGCAGCATCTGCTTCACCGCGACGTCTCTGATGTTGTTCCCCGGGTCGTCCAGGACTCTGCCGCGATACACCGTCGCCATGCCGCCGTCCGCGATCGCGTCTCCGCACTTTATGCGCATCGCGCCCACGGAGACCACCTTGCCGCGGAGGTCGTGCGGGGAGGAGGAGGAGGAGGAGGACGACGGCGTCTTGACGCTGAGCGTCTCCGCCGCCGCGTTCAGCGCGTTCCGGATGGACTTCATGACGACTTCTGCGGAGGGAGGGACGGGCGAGGAGGCGCGCGCGCTCCTCGCCTGCGCGCCGCGCCCGCGAGATCTGAGGCGACGGACTCGCGAGGGTGCGGGTGTGCAAGCTGTCCTGTCGTCAGAATCTCAACTTTTGCTCACTCGGCTTGAACTTGAAAGAAAGGAAAAGCTACGACGACCACACTCCTCCCGCCGCCCTCCCTCCCCGACCCCGCCGGGGATTTCGATCATGGAATCCGCCGGGGCGTTCGACGCCATCTCGCCCGATCTCGCGTGCGTCGTCCTGTCGCACGTCGAGAACTTGAAGGACCGCTTCTCGCTGGCGCGCGTGAACCGCGCGTTCTTCGAAGCTTCGAAGCGAGACGCGAGCCTTCCGCCCCCGGACGTGTTGTTCCAGTTCGCCCGCGAGTCCGACATAGCGGGTCAGCACGAGCGGGAAGTGGCCTGGCTGAAGAAAGCTGCGGCTAGGGACCAGGTCGAAGCGCTGGCCCTCCTCGGGGCGTACTATAGCGAGGGCATGCACGGCGTGGAAATAGACGACGCCGCCGCGTTCCGTCTCTGTAAAAGGGCCACGGAGCTCGACCACGAAGGAAGTGAGTTATACAGAATATCCATAGGTCACCTTGGCGAATGCTACGTAGAAGGCAATGGCGTCGAGCAAGACATTGCGAAGGGCGTTGAACTCGTGCGTAAAGCGGCTGACTTGGGCGAGATCGAGTCTATGCTGAGCATGGCGAGTTATCACAGCGAAGGCACGCACGGCGTGGAAAAAGATACGACGAAAGCGCGCTACCTTGCCGTGCGCGCGTTACAAAGCGGATACATTAACCATATAAAGACGCCGGAAGATCTTGCGAGATTGTGCGCAATCTTCCGTAGTGCAGGAGCCCATGTTGATTTCGACCTGGACAATCAGTTGGTGGCGATCGGCCTGGACAATCGGTTGATCACGATCGGCATTACGAGTAGTCCCGGGTGAACCAAACACGCGAACGGGGACGACGACGCGCGTTTCGAAGAGTTTACGTTTGACGTTTGACGAGCGAGAGTACGCCGCGTGCGTTTTCACGAAAGGCACGAAATACACGTCCACGACCGACTACCGCTTCTTCTCCCCACCACTCCCACCCCCAACACCCCCCGCCGCCCTCGCGTTGATCGCGGACATCAACCCGATCGCGGGCGCCACCTTCTGCGCGCTCGTCCGCCGATCGTACGTCCCCTTTTGCATCGCGATCGAGTGCCCCATGTACAACGACAACGCCTCCAGCTCCGCGTCGGACGCGATGCCCTCCCCTCTGACGTGCGTGATGACCATGTCGCGGACCAAGTGCGGGTTCGTCTTCTTCCCCGTGAGCCGCACCGCCGCGCGCGAGAAGGCGCGAGAGAGCTCGCTGACGTCCCACGGCTCGCCGTTGGGTCGCGAAAACACGCGGCTGTGCTTCGGGCGGAGCGCCGCGCGGTACCCGGCGACGCCGTACCCGTCGGACGTCGTCCTCACATTTTGTCCGACACTTTGTCCGACACCGTCTTCAGCGTCGGCGGCGTCGTCGACCCCCGCGTCGAACAGCCACGCCTCGAGCGCGGGGTACAGACGCGGGTCCAGCACCAAGTCCGGCCGCGCGCCGTACGCGCCCCCCGTCTGAACGGGTCGTTCCGTACGAGCGTTGATATCGGGGTGGAGTTGAAAGGCGTCAGGGGTGGAGTTGAAAGGCGTCGAGGTGTGTCGGGATTGAAACCGAGGGACCCTGGGCGGAGAGATGCGCCGGGAGAGAAAGTCCTTAAGGATCGGCGTGCACCACGCCGACGCGGTCGTACGGGGACCGGTGTGAATATGAACGCGCCTTATAATCCTCCGGCGAGTGCCGCACGACCCACGTCGCGCGAGAGACCCACTCCGTCCGCCCCGTCCGCGCGCCCGCGTCGAACGGATCCACGACGTCCACCTCGACGTCCACGACCTCGCGGAACAGCGTGCGGTCGAGCTCGAGCTCCCGCAGCGTCCGCTGCCGGTCGGGCACGCACGCGAGGATGGCGAAGAGGAGGTAACGCTGCACGGCGGCGGCGACGTCTTTCTTCGACCGCCTCGCGCCCTTCCACGTCAACGGCGCGCACTCTCGCTTCAACGTCTCCACGAGCTGTAAATACTCCGGCCAGTCCAGCCACTTCTTGGTCTCGTCCGCGGCGTGCGGGGCCTTATCCCCTCTCGCGCGCGCGCCGCGTTGCACGCGGACGAGCTCCGCGACGACGGGCGACGCGTCGACGCCGTCGCCGCCGCCCCACAGCCACTTGGCCAACGCGACGAGCGATCGCAGCTGCGGGCGATTCCATAGAAGGTACAAAAAAAGGTTGTTCATCGGTAAGTTTAAAGGGGGTGCGATCAACGTACAGTACTGTACAAACCGGGGCGATGGGTGATTAACACGTTCGTATAGACTTTGATAGAACGCACCTGAAAGTCCTCCGTCTTGGGTTGAATCTTCCGCGACGCGCATAGCCACTGCATGTACTCGATCGCGAGCCTCGCGCCGTCCGCGTCCGCGCTCGTGAGGACGTCCCTGAACGACAGCGCGTCGCTCGCGGGCGGCGGCACGCCGTCGCGATGCGTCAGCGCGCCCGATGCGGCGTCTCTCGCGCGAATCGCCGGAAGCGGCGTCACGCCGTCCCATCCTCCGAGCTTCACCTTGACGTACCATCCCATCAGCCCTCGCGCGACTTGCTCGTAGTTATCCGCGGTGGTCCCGCGCACCGGGTCTCGCCCGCCGCCGACGCGCAAGCCGGTGACGTCGCGCCGGAGCGCGTCGAACTCAGCCTGCAGCGCCGCGGGGGTCTCGCGCGGGCGGAGCGAATACGGCGGCAGCCGCTTCCGCTTCGTGACGCGGATGTCCGAAAGTGCGAGTCCGCCGACGCCCGCGCCGCCGCGAACGCGACGGTCGCGCGCGCCGCGCCCAGTCGTCGGGCCGGGCAGGCGCGCGTCCGGTCCGGGGAGCGCGCCGCCGATCCACCCGTCGTTGGAGGCGGCGGCGGCGGCGGTCGCGTCTCCGTCGAACGCGGACGACGCGGGGCCGTCGTCGTCGTCGTCCCTTCGCGCGCGCTGACGACCGGGTGAGACGAAATGCTCATAGGATCCGCCGGCGCTGACGACGTTGGACGCGACGCCGCCGTCGGCGTCCCTCTCCTCGGCACCCTCCTCGGCACCCTCGGAGTCGGCACCCTCCTCTTCTAGCGTCATCGCGTGCATCGCCATCGCGAACGCCGCGGGGACGCCGATGGCGGCGAGCGACGCCGCGGGCAACGCCCTGACGTCCGCCGCGCGCTCGATCCAGTTCGCGCGGAGCTTGGTCGCGATGACGCGCGCGTCGTCGCCGCCGCGGCCGATCCGCGCGCACACCCTCGTCGCGAACGCCTCGAGGGTTTCCTCCTCCTGCTCTTCTTCCTTCGGAGGCGTCGGCGGCGGCGGCGGCGGCGCGGGCGTCGTCGTGGCGAAGCTGCGCGGGGGCTGGATCGAGCGCGCGGCGGACGTCGGGGCGTTGTACGCGGCGG